CTAATTCTTAATATTATGTAGTCTTCAAATTCTCTAAAGGTAATTTTGATGGATTTGAGAGAGAGAGAGATCATAGGAAAAAATGGTATCTTTAAGTAAACAACAAGCTAGCATGAGCTAACATGTTTTACGTTTTGTATTAGTAGTATTGATCACATACAAATTTATTTCTGTTGTGAGTATAAAAGAACAAATTCTGTTATGTTTGGTCACATTTTCAAAGAGCCACATGTGGCCCCAGAGCCGCAGGTTGCAGACCCCTGAACTAGAGCCTGTGACGTGCAATTCCTTCAAATACAAAAAGTCGATGAAATGCTAATTATATTTAAGAAACTTGGCATAATTCTACACATTTTGTCACATAACCAGCATATTTTCTTTTGGATTTATTTCAGCCAAAACGAAACAGGAAGTGACATCATAGTGGAACTCTTTAAGAATAAAACCCTCTCACTCTGATCTTTTTTTATTGAAACATTGTTTGAACTTTGAATCTTCTTCATCCAGGGGATTCTGATGTTATCAGTCCATGAAATGGATGTTATTAGGTGTTATCAGTCCCATACAATGGCTTCAGAGGGTCCCTACTGTGCCTTCTAGGCTTCAGACTGTCCTGACAGTGCCCCCTAGTGGGTTAATATATCAACGACAATGAATGTGTAAATAACCAAAAGATATTGTAATAAATTTTTGGTGTCCATGTTGGTCTCAAACCCTGGTCCCATTGCTCTATTGGAAGACCACAATATTCAACTGTTGGAGGGCGGTGTCTTTAGCGCTAACCATGTCATTTGCTCTAAAGTTAACCTTAGTGGTTTTATGCCTCATATTAACCAGATAGTGGTTTTATGCCTCATANATTATTAGTCTTCAAATTCTCTAAAGGTAATTTTGATGGATTTGAGAGAGAGAGAGATCATAGAAAGAAAATGGTATCTTTAAGTAAACAACAGGCTAGCATGAGCTAACATGTTTTACGTTTTGCATTAGTAGTATTGATCACATACAAATTTATTTCTGTTGTGAGTATAAAAAAACAAATTCTGTTATGTTTGGTCACATTTTCAAAGAGCCACTGCAGAGGGATCAAAGAGCCACATGTGGCCCCAGAACCGCAGGATGCAGACCCCTGAACTAGAGCCTGTGACGTGCAATTCCTTCAAATACAAAAAGTCGATGAAATCCTAATTATATTTAAGAAACTTGGCATAATACACATGATTCTACACATTTTGTCACATAACCAGCATATTTTCTTTTGGATTTATTTCAGCCAAAACGAAACAGGAAGTGACATCATAGTGGAAATCTTTAAGAATAAAACCCTCTCACTCTGATCTTTTTTTATTGAAACATTGTTTGAACTTTGACTCTTCTTCATCCAGGGGATTCTGATGTTATCAGTCCATGAAATGGATGTTATTAGGCGTTATCAGTCCCATATTATGGCTTCAGAGGGTCCCTACTGTGCCTTCTAGGCTTCAGACTGACCAGACAGTGCTCCCTAGTGGGTTAATGTATCATTGACAATGAATGTGTAAATAACCAAAAGATATTGTAATAAATTTTATTGTGTCCATGTCGGTCTCAAACCCTGGTCCCATTGCTCTATTGGAAGGCCACAATATTCAACTGTTGGAGGGAGGGGTCTTTAGCGCTAACCATGTCATTTGCTCTAAAGTTAAACTTAATGGATTTAAGCCTCATGTTAACCAGATAGTGGTTTTATGCCTCATATTAACCAGATAGTGGTTTTATGCCTCATATTAACCAGATAGTAGTTTTATGCCTCATATTAACCAGATAGTGGCTTTATGTCTCATATTAACCAGTTTTTATGCCTCATATTAACCAGATAGTGGCTTTATGTCTCATATTAACCAGTTTTTATG